ATAAAATGTTTTTAATTGTGTACAAACTTTAACGTTGAATATTATTTATGATTTTTTGCATAACCACAAACACAAACATACTTACACCAGCCTGACTGTTGTAGCCAAGGATGTACACAGGTGGTTTACCATATACTCAACTCAAATGGCCATTAGAGGATGAGATGACTGCTGTGTGCCATTGTAAAAGATTAAGATGTTAAGATATCAGCCCTCAATGGGGCTTTAATACCAGGAACCTCAGCTCACACTAGTGTTCTAATGACAATGCTTTACCAGCTGAGTAACATGAACTTCAATCCCAAAAAGATAATTCCTATCCTGATTGTTGCAAGATGTTAAGAAAAGAGCAATAAAGAATAAATAATGTGTTACCAAAATTACCTAATTACCAAAAAAGAAACTCAAGTCAGTCTACAACTGATGAAAAAAATAATTCTAATTTTTTTTATTTAACTAAAACTAACATGTTAAAACTATACTTACTTACCAATCTTTAATTACAAGCTTAATATTTTCACACATTGAGGGAAACTGCAAAAACAAACTTTTTGTTAAAACTGAATCAGACAGTGCTTATTCAAACACCTAGAAAAATGAAAAATAATCAGAAGCATCACTAGTAAATAATAATAATGCCAAAAATACCAGATTGTGGATCATTTAACAAAAATACCTGTCAAAATACTCTTCTTTTCACAACCTGGAAGCTATATTCTTGGCCACACCCTGTTTTTGACCAAAAAGGGACAGCTAGAAAAAGACACCTGAAGTGGCTCTTCAGGTAAGTTCAAGGTTTTATCTCTAATACACGGTATGAGTTGCAAATTACTATGACAGGATGCACCAGAAGGAAATATAAATTTTTATTTTCTTACCATCACTTGAATTATTGTTTTTTCATGTACTATAGAAACCAAATGAAATAACTGCATATTACTTTGTTCAATATGTATTTATATTTTACATTTCATAACAATACAGTGCACACACACATAACAATATCTCTTTCTTTTTTTTAGTACACATATTAAGTGATCTGTGAATACTTTAGAAATGGAATAATTCCAGATCTTTTCCTTTTAATAATTAATCACAAAAAACATGTACAACTTTTTAAACTGTGCTTTAAAGACTAACACAGTCTTGATATTATTATAGCACTTTCATATATCTTAAAAACAGTTTAAAATCTTAACATAATTTTTACCTTAAACTTTTACAAACTGTAGAATATTGTTACTGTTCTTAAATGTATGGACAAGAAAATTGAAATAAACACTAGGAATATAAATGTTCTAAATGCAACAAAGATGGTTAACTTGATATTACCATTTTGATATTCACAAACTTTTCAGCATTCTTTAAACTTTAGAAAAAAAATAACTGTACTAAAATCTCTCATCAAATAGTTATAGAGCAAAAAAAACTTAAATCCAAAAAGTAAAATATGTAACTCTCCTGATTAAACATCATAATATGGCATCTCACTAACAATTTTATGTGCATTCTCATTAATAAGTTTATGTGTATACAATTATGCCTAACATGAGGTTTGTTCTACCTTATACTTACTAATGCAGTGTTACATTCACAGAACTTATCCATTCAAAAGCATTTACTAAAATCTTGCTAACTGTGCAAGTTCTAAAACCAAAATTTTACATATAGTAGCAAACTCACTGACATTTTCAGGTTAAAGGTATAAAAAGTATCAACAATTAAACTTTAGTTCTCATTATATGAAGTCCTGTACCAAGCAAAAAACAAACCATTTTTAACACTCACCTGAAATCCAAGCAACAACTTCTGATTCCAATGAGGGTTGTCATCACAGTACATTATTTTGGATTTAATCTTAAAAAAGAAAAAAATGTAATCGATTTACTATTTCATATTTAAGAGAAATTCACCAGTTACTTACAAAAATGTTTTATTAAATTTTGAGCTATTGTCCAATCCAGTTTGGGGCCTGGCATGACCTAATGTTTGAAACACTTGACACACAGTCTGCGGGATCAAAACTCATCACCAGGCATGCTCACCCTTTCAACTCTGGAGGGCATTATAATGTAATGGTCAGTAAAAGAGTAGCCCAAGAATTGGAAATGGGTAGTGTTGACTAGTTATCTCCCGATCCAGTCTATCACTTCCAAATTAGGTACACTAACACAGATAGCCCTCAAGTAGCTTTTCACAATTTTCAACAAACAAATAAACAAAATCTTGTCCAGTTCTTGAAGTACGATATAATCTGCTTATGTCTTTCTAAATTTATAAAAAAAATAAGTTTTTCTTCAGTAAGGGAAGTGCCTATTATTTTGAATCGTTTTAATTTCTATATACAAAGGATTTAAAAGATAGTTTCACTTAAACTCATGCTTTTCCTTTTACGTTGTTAATGGATAAAATGATGTAAAAAATGTAGGCTTAACCAAAATAAAACAATTAGATTACCAACTATAATGATATTAACGAAAAAGAAACAAAATCAAAATTTGGAATAATGGTGAAAAATGATGAAATATATCAGAACTTAAAAAATAAAACTTAAGTAACAGCAAGAAAAAGAACAATCATTATCATAGAACTAGAATAAAATGATTTTGTTTATATAGGCTTATGATATGGGTTTGAGGCATATTGAAACACACACACACACTTCTCAAGTTTGCATCCACACTCACTTCCTTTTATTTTTTGTGCAATTTCTGGAATACTTTCCAGAAGCTGACATCATGAGACAAGTAGTGTGACAATTTTAACATTATAAATTTTTTCTATAAAGTAGACTTATGTTTTTTGTTTTTTTTACTTCTAGCTCTTGAATCTAACACAGGAACTAATGTATGCTTTCAACATGTGTTACTCTGTACCTCCTGTACAATATCATGGTGGAACAATTTTTGTTATCTCTTGGGGGTAGATGTAAAAAGCAGTATGCTTTAATTCTGTGCAAGAACTTCCCAGGCGGATGATCAAAGGACCACTTCTAGTAACAGGTTAATTACATTGTATAATTATTTTCTTGATTAATAAGACTATAGTTTTTAAGTTGTTGAGAGGAGTCTTGTCTTTGTCTAAGAAACAATTTCTCTGTGTCTCCACCAGTCAATACCAATTCATGTGGTACTTTCATCTGCAAAACCAGCAAGCCAGTATGTTTGTTTTTAGGTATTTAGAACCTGTTTTATTTCAATTATCCTTTAGTTTTAGCTTAGTTCTTTTAATTTTCTCAATCTTTTTTTTTGTGTGTATCATATGCATTTAAGTTAACACCATGTTATTCAACATAATAAAGACTTGTATGTTTATCTTATACATCTGATTCTATTTCTTCAATTTCTTAGCATGCATGGCCAGCTGGGTAGGGTGCTCAACTTACAATCTGTGGGTCACAAGTTCAAATCCCCATGACACCAAACATGCTTGCCCTTTCAGCCGTGGAGGCATTATATTGTGACAGTCAATCCCATTATTCTTTGATAAAAGAGTAGCCCAAGAGTTGGCAGTGGTTGGTGATGACTGGCTGCCTTCCCTCTAGTCTTACACTGCTAAATTAGGGACAGTTAGCACCAATAGCTCTTGTGTAGCTTTGCACGAAATTCATAACAAACAAACAATTCTTAGCATGTTACTTACTTTTTCAATCCTATCTAACTGCATATCACTCATATCGATTATTATTAGCACATAATTGGGATGGAGCAGATAATACTTTAATATAGCACAAGCAGAAGATTTTCTTCAGCTCTTTTTCTTGCTGCAAACTTCAGTGCATTGATGCCATGGTTAGTATAATGTTAATGTGATTGGAGAAGTTAAGTTGTCCATTATAGGTTACCTCCATCTACTTTAGTACTTGTCCTCATCAGCTTGTCTGTTAAGTGTGCAGAATATGTTTATGGCTTTAGCAGTTTTGATAACCATTCTTGTGTCATTGCACCAGGTGCTTTCCCTGCTAAGATATAGTTGCATTCTATGTTCAATTTCAGCTTTGTTAGAGCCTCTGCTGTATACCAGAATGTCATCAGTATCTTCTTGGACTGTCAAGGAGGGCTAGATTTATGGTATAGATAATGAAGAGTACTGACAAGAGAGGTGATTCATGAAGCAGAACAGTATTGATGGTGATCTTCTGGTAGTCAATGTTGTTACAACTCATCTTACACAGCCACTTATTGTGAGCATGTTATCAACAAGAATGGGTAGCTGAACTCTGTTTTTGGCATCTTCAAGATCTAAAGCTACTGCCAAGATGTCCTAACAGCTTCAAAGCCTTCCCAAGTATCAACTGCAAATTCAGAATCGTTGATCCAGATTTCTCTTCCAATGCAATAACTATCAAATGATGAAAATAACAGTGGTTCAGTCTGATAGGCATGACTTCTAGCTAAAACATTCTCTGGGATTTTGCCAATGATGTTTTGAAGAACAATAATTTGATGACCTTCATGGGTTGGGTAAGGATTTGATTAAGGCACCAGTTCATATCTCAGGGATGCTACCTACTGCTCATAAAAGTTGATACTCTAAAACTAGCATCATCAAATTAGCTTCTGTAAGCTTCTAAAAAGTGGAGATCTTTACACCACCTAGACCTTGAGCTCCATCTTTAGATGAATTTATGGCTCTATGTATTTCATCGAAATTAAATATGACTTCTATAATTGCATGTAGCTGTAGCTTGGAATGGAACTGCTATAGCTTGAGACTCTCTTGCATGTCATCATGGTCACATTGACTAACATATTTTCACATGAAGGCCTTGCTCAATCTTCATCTGTACAAAATGGCTCATATTGACATGTTTTTGGTATTTGTGCCACCAATAAGCTTATGGAAATGCCAAAATGAAAAATGAGATTGGCCTTGCTACACAGTTCATTATATTTCACATCTCGTATTTTGGAACCTGATTGCCTGTAGAGTGTACAGGCTCTATTCTGTGCAATCCTCATCTCCTCTATCTGGGCTTGGTTATGTTTTATCTGCATGAACTTCATCTGGTCTTCATTGCATGTTTTCCAGGCTTTATCATAATCACTGTGTCAAGGGTATGGGGTGTTTCTCTCACAGAAGTTGTTTCCCTGACTTTGCCCATGGTGGAGAGATGCAGATAGTTTGGCATCCTTGGTCCTTACATGAGTTTCTAGATTGTTTTATTCCCCTTTTTTTACCAGTCTACACAGGCACCTCAAATGAGGCAAACACTGCTGGTATTAGAGATGACACTCTTGATGGGGTTAGTAAAAGCAAAGTCTATATGGATTCTCTGTTGCCTTGGCACTTAGCAACTCTTGTTTGGAAGCATAAGGTTTGAGGCTATATGTGCAGAGCAGAATATATATACCTTTGTGATTAGTGTGTTTTTTTCCCTGCATCACAAGTGCAATGTCTCGCATTGAGGTCTCCCACTGCTAGATACATAGGGGTGTTCAGATCATGTATCACAATGTGTTGTGTTACCTTTCATGTACACATTGATGATTTGTATGTATGTAGATAGTTTGAGTGAGCTATCTGAATGGTTTGTAGCTTGTAATAGTGATTGTTTCACTGATAGTTGTCATAATGTTGTTCATATTGGATGTTGATGTCATCCTACCCTCTTGGTCAACATAAAGTATGAAGTTAAAGCCAATAAGAGTGAATTCTTCAAGAGTCTCAAAGTTTAGTCTCTTGAAAGAGTATGATATCATAAAATTCAGAGATTCTAAAGACATTACTTGCTGATCCTGACATTGCAATAATCTATCATATGTGAGACATGTAGAGGTGGTGCACTTTTTATGTATGCATCATTGATCAATTTAGTGTGTAGGCCTTAGTTTCCCATTCGTTTCCTTCTTTCACTGGTCAGTGAAGATTCCCTCCTAAGCCCACAAGTTCCACTGCTACATTGGGCACCTGTCTGGGCACTATCTTTTAATGTATTATTATTTGAATGCAATGTATTAGTTACTCACTGTTCAGAACTCCTGTTCTTAGCCCTGTCCACCCTAACAGGGCAGGTAAGGTAACGTTGGCCAGTAACCTACTAGAATAGAACTGCCATCTTTGAGGTAGGCACACAATGGCCAACAGAATATAAATCCTTCCATCACCAAGAAGCTTCCCTGGCACAGAACTTTACATCAAATGGCTCTGCTCATAACCAGTACTAAACATCATGTGTTGTTTCCATCCTTTAGTAGCAGCATGGTGAAATGGCTTCTCTCTACTTGATAATCCATCAATATATATATATAGCTTGCAGAACTAAGATATATTACACATTGATCCCATATTCCAAAAACCCATGTTCCCTAATGTTGCACAGAATAAGCCTCCAAATGGTTTAACACTGGAACTGATATTACCAATATACTAGTCACTGTCTCAGACTTGATGCCTTGTATACATACTAAAACTAAAGTCAAGCTAACTTTAAAATTAGATCTATAATTAATCCAGTGTTAATACTGTATATGTATATACAACTGAACTCACAATAACTACATATAATTAAAACTAAGCACTATATCTATAAATAACACACAGTAACACTGTATTTGTGCCTATAACTGAATAGATGACAACAATGTATGTAACAAAAGAAAACAAACTAAAGCTTTCCTTCAAATTTAAACATGATGTACTAAACTTACTTATGTGATAACTCTGCAAAGAACCTAAACTAAGCACATGGCAAATGAACTTGTGTAACTCACCAGTTGGTAACAGTGTAATTAAATCTATATCTAATCAGTATATACATATACACACACACACACATATATATATTTCATATCATAAACTATCCCAATGATTCACTATCCTAGTTTAGTCTATCTTAAAACAAGCATAAATCTAGACAAATTTAGAGTATTCCTAATGAACATTAAGGTACTTTGGCTATTGTAAAAAAATTACAACCTACAATCTTTCATAAGGGCTTGACAAGTGTTATAAAGAAATTCCAGTTATTTTCCCTTCTTCTTTTTTTTAATGATCCTGGTGAGCAAGAAACCCACCCTTGGGGCTACAGTGCACATGTTTTCAAAAAGTATCAAAAATAAATGGGAAAGTGCACAATAGGTGCGGAATGGTCTAAAGAAGTGAGAGCAACTTTCAGAATTTAAAAATCCTTTCCGGTCATGGAAAAACAGGTGGAAATGATTAACTACCTCCCAACTTTCCAGAAAATCAAAGGAAAGATGCTGAATGCTTTGATTTTAGCAAATATTAGAGTTATTTCGGTTCCAATGATGTTATTAGTCAATTTCCATGGATAATTAGTGAGAATAAACATGTTTCTAGTTTTCTTCTAGTACATCTTCAATCTCAATGTCCAAATCTTGTAACAAAACACTCCCTTCAGCACACATTTCCATAAGAACATCTTGTTCTGCCTCTTCTTTCTCTTTTACTGGCTTTTGGATCATTTGAACTACTCCACGTCTACTTTGGGGGATAACATGGCAATGTTTTGCTGTACATATATAGCTGGAGGATCACAATGTAAATACATTTCACAGCTTTTGCAGCTTTCTTGTTTTTTATATTTATGTTCTTCACTACTTCAATCATACTTACACCAAGCAAAAATAGAAAACTAATTTTGAAACAGCTGAATTTTTTATACACGGAAGTGTTATCTGGTTTTTAGGGTATTTTTCCATGCAAAGAATGATTCTGAAATTTTTATTTCTTTCTGACAAAAAACTGTAATTTTGGTTTGGTTTCTGACTGACTGGGAACTTATAATTAAAGTAGGGGAAATTATACTTTCATACAAATGGGTGGAGAGTAAGAAAAGCATATAAGAGAGTAGGGACCACCTGTAAATTAATTTCCCAAAAACAAGAAGTACAAAACAAAATCTCAAGTTGACAAGAACATGCAGACCAATTTTACAGTGCTGCACCTATATATTATAAGAAGAGAATTATATTTGACCTAGAAGCATTCCAGTAAGAAATGATTTAGCACAGGTCATTTGTTGCATCAGGAACATGATACACATCAGAGCCTAAATGAAAATCTCATATTTGCAGGAACATGGAATTCATAAGCAATGATGCACATATACAAACTCATTACATCAATGAGATTTAAATATGGATCTGAGATACCACTGTAGGAAAGACAGAGCTTGACAACTCAAACCTAGTCTACAAAGTAAGTCCATGAACTGTTACATGAGTAAAAAGGAATACTTTTTTAAAAGTAAATAAAACCTGTGTAAAAAAAATACTCCTCAAATAAGATGTTAAATGGCAGTAAATGTGTACACATTTCTACAACCTTATGCTTTTCATTAGTTTTGTTATCATTTTTTAACTGTAGTAATTAAATATCTAAAAAAAACATGTCTAATTGCAGATTTAGATTACTAAAAATTCTCAGTTATTCCAGCTTTTCACCTGATGTCCAGCAAAACTGATTACAAGATATGGATCAATCAGTTCTTTCTTCCCATCTCCAGCACTGATGATCTTTTTTGCTGATTCCAGCAAGCCCATATCCACTGGTAAGAAATAACATAACAAGAGACTGATCAGTTAAATACCTAGAGGTTGTACAAATAGGTATGATATATATAATCTTACAAACCACAATAACATTAACCTGCAAATTTAAATAATTTCATTAAGGACTTGTTAGGAAGTCCAACTCTTGCAACTTACAGACACAGTTTTTGGTGAAATTTCAACCTTTTCATACTAAGAAAGTACTCTGGACAAATATTCCTAATGCTATGTAGAGAAGATAAGTCCACTTACTTCTAGGTAAGTCTTCACCCTGGTAAATGTCAAAAATGAAAGCTGCTGGCCGCAGCTGCACTCCAGCTGGCAGTAGCAAGTTGCTGTAGAAAAATTATATATACATGCATTTTTTAGCTAACAAAAAATCTCAAACCAAGTAATTTCAAATCCAGTAAAAAATATTTCTGTAAACAAAAATGTTTTATAAACATGGAAATATTAGGAATTTATTACCTCTCAACATCTTCCTCCTCACTTCTAGCTGGTGTTTTCAAGTTCTAGAGGTAATAAAACATTTATCAAATGTTTTTACATTTATTACAAACTCCCAGATTAATACAGATACACCCAGAATCTGAATTAATTTTATTTTTGTATTACTGAAAATAATATTAGGTCATCATGCCACTGATTACAATTTTTCCTCCATTAAAATGAGATTTGTGGAAATTCAAATACTTGTGGTTACACAGTCTCTTTAGCTTTTATAAACATTAAATTGTTTGTAAAACTGCAAGGAGTTTTCTATGAAAAAATAAAATTCAATAAGTGAATTATATATATATATATCAATTATTTAATTATTTTTGTTTATATTCTTCAGGTTTTATATCCTACCTTACAGTTTTTACACTTTTTAAATACAGCTTTCTATAAGACAAAAGTTTAGCTATGCTAAATATATATAACCCCAATCTTCTGAAAAGCTTTTGTTTTAATATACATATAAAACAAGTAGAATGATTAATTTCATAGATAATACTTTCTATTATACGTAAATTAAACATAGGAATTATTACACCTACAGGGCATTCATCACCTGGCCCAAGTACTACAACAGATGCTTTCAAGTAGCCCATTGCTCCTGCCATGGCATCATCTGGGTTGCCTAGTAACAGCCACTTATTCAGAAAAGCATGCTGTGATTGCTCATAAATTATGCCAAGATCAAGCTGTAAAACAATTCACTGATGAAAATTCAGCTTTAATAACCCCAGTCACAGAAAAAAAAGTTTCTCATTCTCAAAATTATTAAAGCATACATTTAAAAACAAACACTAAATATATATATATATAACAATATACTAGAACTAAACATTGCTATTCTACTCCTTCTTTTTTCTTCTAACTATACTTAATAAGTAAACTTTCTGGATTACAGAACTTATATAGACAAGTTAATCTGATGCCAATCTAATATCCCAGAAGGATGTACTATAAATGTTTGCTTTAAGTTGAAGTTCTAAAACTGTTATACTGTACATTATTTTTCAAAATGATATTGATATTCTAAAATAATAAGGTATGTTTATAACTCCACAATATTTATGTTCTGTGTCATTTATTACTCTGAAAGTTAACACCGTGTGAATAATACCTTAAATATTATGTTGTTACCAAAGAGAATATAGCATTCTTTCATATGCAGTCTTAAAACTGTGTAACCCAACTTACAAATGTAATAATTAATTATATAACATAACATTTTCCCATTTTTACACAAAACATTGATAAAAATATTTCAGGGTAAATAATTAAAATTAAAAATATTTTCTACTCAAAAAGTCCTATACAAGTTCAATATTATCCATTTTTAAAAACCTTTAACCAGTTGACTAGAAATGACAATTAAAGCATAAAAAAATCTTCTTAAACTAAATTAACAATAATGGCATAAAAGTTAATATTTTCTTACTTTGAAAAATCCAATAAGCAGGTTTGATCTCAAAGCCCTAGCATTATTCACCTATTTATAAAACAAAAAAGAGATAAAAGTTAGATCAAATTTTGGCTACGATCCCATAAATTTTAAATTTTTAGAATTAAAATGAGTTTCAAACAAGTACTTATCTCCAAAATACTACAAGTCTTTTGTTGTTGAATCATTCTCACTAATAAACAAACATGCAACTTTCGATCAGAGGCATTGCTGGTCACCAGCCCACAAGATCCATGCTCTGGATGTATTTTACAGAATCTATTTTGAATGTTATATAAACTATAATATTATATTGTAATTATATTTTAATTATTGTGAATAGTAGTTGCCTCTTAGCACCCAAGTTCTAAATATTTTTGGTAGCTAGTGACATTCCTGCTCTTGGTTGTGATTGTCTTTACTGCAATGCATTACATGCATCACCAAAGTTTTCCACTTTCCCACCTTCCATGTGACTTATTGTGCAAACACCTGGCAAACTACATAAGCTCTGTGTTCTGCCACAGACCAAATTCCTTTGCTGATATCATGATATATCTAGGTGAAACTCAATTAAATTTTAAATTATATAAGATATGTCCATTTGATAATAGGAGATTTGATCAGGATATCTATTGCTAATTAATACTAAATCTCTTACTAATTTAGTCTAAGTCAAATGAAATAGTGTAATGGGATACAAAGTAAAATAATGAAATGCACAACCTTTATCAAACAAAAACACAGTGGGTGTACCTGCTTTAGGTTATAATGAACTGTCACTTTTACTGGATAATCTCAATGTCTTATTCTTTAAGATCATGTTCCAGACATTTAAATGCAACATTCCTTAGTTTGCAAGAAACCTCACTAGTACTATGCAGGTGAATAATTATTCTCATTATAACATAGGTGAGGGTGTAACCTCTAGATATCACCAGAACTACCACTGAAGGACACTGCTGCTGATATCTGTGCACAACATGCAGTATTGAGCAATATCCCCTCTCCAAAGAAAATGCAAGTATTAGCTCCAGAGAATGACAAAGGAACAAAGGCAGAGCAGCTAGAACAAAATGTTATGTTATATGAAATCTGTACATACACAGAACAAAGAATAAATACTATAATATTGCATTAAGATATAAATATATGGTACATTCATATACCACACTTTCCTGTCATCCCTACTTCTGGCTTGTCTTCAAAGCCAGCAGTTACTTTAATTTAAACTCAATAAACTTTAACCTTGTGCTCTGGTCGAGGAGAGATAATATTTTTATACATTTTTGTCTCACTGTAAATGATATATGGTTCAAAAATTGAACGATAGCATCTCTCAAATAAAATAACAAGGCAACATCATTCTGTAAATGTAATGTACAATTCCTTCATTAATAATCAATTAAGTTATGAAGACAGAAACATTAATTTATGAAACAGGATCAAAAAAGCACTACTAAACTTATAGATTTTATAGAACACGTATCTTTGTGACAAATGAAATCTTTATTAGATTATAACTTTGGACAAAATAATAAAAAAAGGTGTCTGGGAAAGCAAACTCACTCTAAAGTCAACAGACTCACTAAATAGCTCAACTGGAGTTAAATCAACATGAAAGAAGAATATTTCATTCCACCATGGCTTGGTTGTTTTCTTCTTTGCTCTTGTTTGCTTTGCTTGCTCTCGAAGGGATATTCGACACACTGGGTTAATGTCTGACCCTAATAGCTGTCTGGCCTCTATAACTTTGACTCGGATCTAAAAATGAATGAGTGACCAATAGTAAAACTACAAACATCATCACTACTTTATAAATTATTCATTAGGAAATGTCTACAAGGTAAAAAAAGTAAAGCTTCATGTGTATTTGATATTGTCACTATTTTAATAATGATGTGCTAATATGAAAATTAGTTAATTACTGATTAATCAGTAACTAACAATCAGTCAATTATTTCTGTATTATTCCTACTATTACATAATTTCTCTATCAAACACTTTTGAGAGATTGTATGATATACCCAGAGTCACTTGCATTTGCTCCTGTAAAAGACCATAAACTTCCCCTATACCCTATATTGTGTTGGCCTAGTCTTAAAGAGTTTGTGATTAGATATAGTCAATAACGTAAGAAAATACCAAAACAATGTTCAATCTTACACTTAATTGGTCAAGGTTAAGAATGTGGACAGAAATTTACCTGTATTTAGCAGAAATTTTAACCAGAATTGGAACAATAAAAAAAAGAAAATGAAAAGAAACAAAATTAATTCATTACATTCTGGAATAAAAAGGATATACAAGATTTTGTTTATTTCTTAATAACATTGTGTTTCTTTCTCTTTCACTCTGTTGTTTCTATATCCTACCACTGATTTCAAATGTACAGGAATTTGTAAAAAGCACTCTATGTCACATTAAAATTTCAACAAAACAGATTTATTATTAATGTATGTCAATAAACTTGGCATTGAAACATAGTTTATAATTTTAATTTTAATATTATACAAATTTTAATTTATTCATTTAAAATGGAGATATTTAAATAAATTCTCAATTTTCACTTCTCCATCATGTGATGTATCTCTGCTCTAAATTCTCTTTTTTTTATTTCTTTCTTCCCTTATTAATTCCAAAAAGTGGTTAGCATCTTGTCTTGAGTTGTGCATTTTTAATTTAAGAATGCAAATCATGAATTAGTGTGTGAAGTAATAGGTATCTTTTTCGTTTACATTGTTATATCCAAAATAAGTGTGGAGGAAAATTGCATGTGTGAACATGATACATTTGTTGAATGCCCTAAAAAAATAATATAGTTTACAGGTAACAGATGACTTGAAGAGGATGTTTTTTTTCTGGGTGATATTTTCAATGAGAATGTTAGGAACTTTCATATTTCATCTAAATTATAAACTAGAAATGGAGCAAAGAAACTGTCACATATAACAGAAAAAATAAACAAAGCAGACTGCTGTGATTTTCAATAAAGGGTGTTAAACAGGTATTATTTCTATAGACAGGAAGCAAGTGCATTTATTGATGCAGACCAATAGCATTATACTGCTTTCTCTTAGAGTGATGATTTATTTAGAATTTACTGTATTTCATGCTTTTTATACAATGTTATTTAAGAAAATAGGGCATATGAACAACAATACAGGACTAGAATTGAGGAAAAAACCAGACAATTGTATGTTTTACAAAAACTATATTTATTAATGACCATGGTTTTGCCAGTAAAGGCATCATCAGGTACAGACTGAAATGGTTGGTTAACACATTTATATATAGTTTAACCAATGAACCAGAAGTAACCTAGACATTCACCTGAGACAAGTGGGGAGGAACTTAAGTTGGTTGGGTCATTTAGAACTATTTCTGGATTTGTTTTTATGTATATCTAAAATTTCCAGACTATTTAGTGTTTTTTTTTTACCCTTTTCACAGATTTATAAAATTTTGTAGTTTTTTTCTGAATCAAATTGGTGTTTAGTTTCAATAAAGTCTTTGTTTTTTCCTCAATTCTGTAACAATGGAGTTTCACCAACAGTTTCAAGTATAAATTATATAATATAGTACCACTTGATTAGAAAAAATTAAACTTGTATTTTATTTCAGTTGGACTGGAATGAAACAAAATGGAGCATTCCAAACTTTTGAAACAAGAAGACAAACGTTTTGTTCTGTTCGAATCACTGGTATCCACCTTCTGACTGTCAGACTTATGATGTTAGCTGTAAACAAATACTGATTCTGAATTATGGTATAACAATCAATATGTGATATACTTTGTTGTCAACTATAGCTTTTTTGGAAGTGAAGAAGCATCAACCCAAATTTAGATTTGAAAATTTTATGAAAGATGTAAAGTAAAGAAGCTCATGCAAATGTAGAAGTAATAGTGATTAATTTCCAGAAAATGTGTAAAAGTTTTTAAACTATTTGGAGGAGACTGGTGCATGAAACCAAGTTACATATATTTTCTGGTTATCAAAACATTTTTCATTTGCCAATATGCTTTGAAAATTTGGAAAATAACAAATTAGAATTTGATAATTTATATTGTTGATAATGAGCCAATTATAAACACATATTAACCAATTTCAATTAATCAGTTTTACAGGCAAAAACCAATTTCTGGTTAACCGGCCTAGAGAACACTATTATCTTCTAATTTTTAATTTTCCACATATATACACACAATTTTGATAAAATTTTTACACACAATGGTGAAGTACAAAAGAAGAACCTTTATTAACTTATTAACATTTTTGAGGATATTACTTCTTACCTAGATGAGGGTAAAAAAGGGGGGATTTTGTTTACTTTGATCTTCAGAAAGTTTGAGATAATGTAGCACATAAAAGATTGGTGAAAAAATAATTATCTCAGTTGGAGTAAGGGATAAGCGATTTAAATGGATTGAAAAGTGGCTAGATGAAAGGCAGGAAAAGTTGTTATTAATGGAATTCAGTCTAACACACAGACAATATCTCAGCATAGTGTACATTAAATCTATGCTCCAAGTGGTGTATCTCAGGGATCTGTTATGAAATCATTGTTACTCCTTATTTCCACTAATGAAAGTGATATGGACAAAGTCAGGAAATTGGTTAAGTTTGCTGACATAAAACTTGTAAAGTCTAGTTGACTGTAACAAAAATGCTGTGATTTTACAGGTATGTCTAGATCAGTTGGAAAAATAAGTAGCGGATCATTTAATTATAATATGTGAAGGTTAAGCATGCGGTTTCACCTAATAAAATTCACACAATTTAGATGAGAATCCTCTTAGTTATGTGGATAAAGAAAAGGAAGGATCTTGGGTATTATTTGGTACAAATCTTAAGACATTGAGACAGTACTGTACTGCAAATGGTAAAGTTAACAGAATTTTGGGCCCTATAGATATAGAAATATTGATTACAAGTCTGAATAGGGCATTATTTTATAGTATTAGTAAATACAGTTAGGCCTACCCAATTTGGATTGTTGAATGCAATTTTGGCCCACTTACCTTACAAGGAACACTGAGTTATTGGAGAAGGTACAGAGAAAGACTAAGACTACTAGCATAATTCCAGGGAATTAAGAATGGGTTATTATATGAGTATAGAATGAGATACTTAACTTAATTTCTCTACAAAATACAAGGATAAGGGTAATCTAAGTATTCATAATTATTAAAAGAACTGATAGCACTGAGATATCATTTTTTTCATGGGAAATTCTGATTGATATAGAACAAGAGTTCATAAATTCAAAATTCGGAATGATCAGACACAACTCCAGTAGACATTTCTATTTAACCAACAGGATGGTAAATCTGTGAAACAAACTGCCGTCTAGAGTGGAAGAGGCTGCAACTTTACAATAGTTTCAGTAAAAAGTTGATGAATATTTGGAGGATTCAGGTGTGGATTTATTGATTACCTTTTTTGTCTGTGTTGAAGAAGATTGGGAGTAAAGAAGTTCTTGATGGGTCAGAAGGCTCCTTAATGTCTGATAATTTATGATTCATGGTTATTAATTTATACACATTATTCTTACTTCTCTTGCTTTACAAGAGAAGTAACGATTGGTGAGCATCAGAATACCCTTGTTAAGTGATGAAGAGAGTTCTATTACTTCAGAAGTTGCATACAAGTACAAACTAATGGACTAAATGTAACATAGTGTGAGCAACTGAGTTACCATTATATCTTCCTTCAGATGCAGAAGTCTGTTGGCACAATCATAACATAACACAGTGCTTGAGATATCTAGCATATCTATGTAAAATACACAATTTTTTGAGAAATATGTGTCATTTTCTATTTTACACATATCAGTTATGGATGTACTATCACTGATAAGCTAAAAATGAATTGGTGTGCCTACTGGTTGCACACTGTGAAAATGGCTATTTTTCCACACAGGCACTTGCATCATGCTTAAAAAGAAAGCAAACCACAATTAGGAATGTAACGATACATCGAACTATCAATAAATTGCAATCATAAATGTCCTGATAGCAGCATCAATGGTAAATTTTGGTATTGATAACAATCACCAATAGTACCCTCAACTATTGATGTTTCCAATTGTTTGCAAGTTTGATTATTTTCTCCAATCTGTGTTTTATTTGAGCCATTTCTCAGTAATTTCCCTATAATTCCCAATTTATTAAGTGTGCCTTCACAAAAAACTGACAATCTTTTAGTAAATGTAAAAATGTTAAATACAAAAAAAACTAGGTTTTTTTTTCAGAAAAATATTTCCATTAAATGTTAATTTCAAGATAGGGATAACTTATACATCTCATTTTTAAGTTTTCATATTTTATTTGCATAATTAATATTAAATTTTAAATCATAACACCAGATGGCATGGGTCATAGTGATCCCACACTGGAAGTCTAGGGTTCATGAAAATTGTAATGCTAGGCCCAGATATTTCATTGTATAATCCTAGTCCAGCAGTTAAAATGTGAGGCAGAACTAAGAAAAGGAGAAGAGCAAGACTTTGACAACCATACAAATAAAGAATTAAGAAAATTAAAAATAAATAATTGTGTAAATTATGTGTACGTGTTTTTGTAGTAGTTAATCAAACCCTTACAAATAATTCAATCACTACATAGACCAGCATATGGACACTTGTCCATGATACTGAATTACTGACTACCTTTGGCAGATACTAATAGTCACAATTTGGTCAGTACCATACTGATTATAAAAAAAATTATGTGAAGCATTGCATAATATATATTATCATAT